CATTTCTCTCTTTTGTGCAGATAAATATTTTATTTTTTGAACCGGGCTCATTTCCATCATTTTTTGGTTAATTAAAGCAACCGGGATCAATTCTCTCTTTTTTCCGGGCTCATTTATTTTCGTGTCCATAAATATTTTATTTTTTGAACCGGGCTCATTTCCATCACTTTTTGGTTAATTAAAGCAACCGGGATCAATTCTCTCTTTTTTCCGGGTTCAAAACTTATTTTATCCTCTTTATAAATCCGTTTTCAAATAAAATAATCTAAAAGATATAAGAACGTTTGCTTTTAAATGAACGAAATGAAAAAGAATAAATTTTCTGTTTTCGCTGAATTTAGTTTTCTATGCTTTTCGCTCTCATTGTGAATTTTATACATAATCCGTCAACTTGATCAATTAATGTCGCATTAAGTCGAGAGGACTTACTTTCCTTTTCTACTCTAACTTCGAGTGCACAAGTTACACAATATGCTCAGCTATTTTTCAGAAAAAGATCGCTTCAGTTTGTGGAGACCGTCAATGCACACCAAAAAAGTAGTTTTTTTCAATATGACTGTTTTTGTCAAACAATCATATTGTTGATCAGATAACTCAAGACCTAGGCAGTATGCTTTCGGAAAAATAGGACTAATATTGATCTACGTGTACGCGTAGACTGTACCCTACGTCTACGCGTAGACTTATTTTTGACAGGTCTATGTACAGAATAGAACAAATTTTCATGTTTTGTTATCAGTTACATAATCTAACACAATTCAAAGCTGAACTGTGTTCTTCCTGTTCATAAATATAAGTTACACATATATATGTATTCATGTATCCGTTTTTCATATCAAACTTTGATGGTTTTTTTCTAGAGATTTTTTTACATATTCGGAATCAGTGCAACGAGTTACGGCGCAAAGATCTCATCGCAGTACCCACGTTTTTTGTACCCGGATCCGCCACTGTGAGTTTTCACGGTATATTACATTATAATTCAACGGTACATATCAATGACTCCACTTTTCTACTGTTCTCTTTGATGTCATTTGCTTTGCTTTCGTGTTTTTTTTTATTCGATGCACACTATAGAGAGGGTAATTTTTCACATACTTTTTATTCTCAATTCGTCCCAACTAAATTTGTATATATATTTAACTCTCACTTCGTCCCAGATATTTAAAGTATAATTTTCAACATTTAATCAGCTTGTTTTTCACATCAAGGAATAATTAATTTGTCATGATGAAAATTAGAAGCACAAAGTATCTTGCTATGCCTGGTAGGCTGAATATACTACAATACAAAGAAAGATAACTAATTTTTCACATATTTTATTCACAACGGATGAGTAACCAAAAGAATAATTTATTTTTTAGCCGAATTTGTTTCCACAGCTCTACCACATTTAATAGCTAATTGAACATTAGTCAGCATACCACTACTATGACTAATAAGTAATTGCTTTAGTTTATTATCAATGTCATTATAGATTTTCTTTCGTTTCCGCGTCTGAATATCGGATTCTTCAGCAATTCAAAAATATACGGGTGCAATGGAAAAATACTTCCTAAGCGACTATTGTAACCTTCAACGTAGTTGTTGGTTCTCGGTAAATCACTTAAGATGGCATTATTAGCATTCCATCTCTATCAACGTATTTCTGGACCAGATAGTCGTTAAATGTAACAGCACCGGCATAATCTGGACTATATAAATCTATAATATCCACCCATGTACTTTCAACAATATCTGCCGGAATTAATGCTAAACCAATAGCTCCTAGAAACCAATGATCGGCTTGCTTACGTTCAACATTTTTTTGTTTTTTGACATACAAGTATTTATTGTTCCTTTTAAAAAAGTTAACCATTGAAAGATCTTACATTATTGAACAGTAAAAGGGAAAAAAAAGAACAAAAAGAAAGTACAAAAATTTTAATATTCAGTTTTTTTTTTAGCTAGAGAGTTTCACATACAGATATAAAAAAAACTGATTTAGTTCAGAGGAAAAAAAATACATTCAGGAGTATGACCTTCTTTTCACAGACAGCACATTTTTCCAACCTCGTATCTTAGTCTTAAGAAAAAAATATATCCATCTCCATCACAAAAAAACAAAATTGGAGTCAAGTCTCAGTTGACGAAAAAAAAAAAAATTGAGA